TTTTATTAGGCTTTGATTCTAACAAAAACAGTAAGGTAACACCAAAGATGGACATTCTTGAATGTCACTGAATATTTAATTATTTTGTATCTCAATTCTCCAATGTTTCCACAAGAAATTTAATATTTGTTTAAAAGTGATTGAATCCTTAATCGTTTTTATTCAGGAGTCAAAAATAATAGAGCAAATACTTAAGTTGCACATGTTGAAAGAAAAGGATAATCAGGTCAATGTATTTAAAGAGTGCTCACAATAGGAGTAATGAGAGTGAGTAATATCACAAAGAAGCTTCTCTAAAAATTTCATTCAGTTGTAAAACCAGAGAGTACATGAATAAGAGAAATGTGAGCATCCAGTTTAGATATAGATCCAGAGTTTTCATGGTATAGGCAAATTTTATATGTAAGGTCGTTTTGTATGTTCTCATTGGTATTTATGAATAAGTGATTGTTTAAGATGTATAGTAATAGAAGATGTTAAAAGAGTGCATTTTATTTAAGAATTAAACGTTTTTTACAGCCTATAGTTGCTATTTAAAAAGTATGAATTACCTTTTCCTATTACTTTTAAAAAGGAGGGCTCATCAAGGGAGCATAATGCGTTGGGTAAAAAAATCCTACAACATGGTCATACGCATGGCAGCCAGCAGCCAGCATTCAGTCACCCTAAGAAGAAATAAGTACAGCCGAGCTGCACAACCTTCTATGGTTCGCAAGAGAAAACAATGTCCTCAGTACAATGATAGGATATGCACTCACTGTAACCCTTTACCGTTGAGAAGAAAATAATGAAGAGAAACTTACACCGGGGATGGCTCGTAAATATTGAGCAACGGATTAATGAAAAAATGATTTTCTGACCTTACTGTATAGTTCCTTTTTGCCTATGTACATGGACAAATGTAGAAAAAATTCAAGTGCTTTCTAGTGATTAAAGTACAAAAATTGGAATGATTATGTAAATATTGAATCACATATATATCTAAATATATATCTATATATTCTCACTCCTCACTTAACAACATGATAAGATGCCAAAGACCAGGTCATTATCAAAAGTGGGTGTGACCACATCTGACCACAAAATGGAAGATGATTATATCATTACACAACTGCCAATTCATATTATTTCAGAATTAAGAAATTATATAATTGCATAACTTCAATCCACTGAGGAGCATGTCCCAGTCAAGAGGACACAAGTTTAATGAGCAGAGTCACCATTAATCTCCCACTTCGTGCCTCGGAGTTCCTTACTCCTTGGTTTATGCTGTCAAGTCACAAAATAATTAGATAGTAAACTTTTAACCACTGTTAAAAATGCAAAAGTCCAGTTAAAATATGTAAGTGAGAAGTAGCCATATGCATATTTATATAATCATTAAAGTCATTATACAAACACATCAGTCTGAGATGTAGGAGAGATGGGAAGATCTAAAATCTTGAGTGGATTCTTTGTAAAAGAGTGTAAGTTTCATCAGTTAAGGTCTAGACTGGGCTTAGGTCATTTGTCAAAGATGGCTCGTTTGAATTACCCTGTAAAAGGCTTCCTTCACGTCCTTGTTCCTCAAGGTATAGATGACAGGGTTCAAAGCAGGAGTGACCACTGTGTACATGAGGGCAGTTACCTTGTCTGTTTCTGCAGTGTGCGCACTTTTGGGTTGGAGATAAGTGAATAGGGCAGTTCCATAGAACAGAGAAACCACCAGGATGTGAGAGGAGCAGGTAGAGAAGGCCTTCCGTCTGCCAGCTGCTGAGGGGGTCCTCACGATGGCCACAAGAATGCGCATGTAGGAGCCCAGAATGAGGAGGCAGGGACTCATGATGAAGAGCACGGAGACAATAAAAAACACAATCTCATGGTGGGAAGTGTCCACACAAGCCAGTTTCACCACAGGCATGACATCACAAAAAAAGTGCTGAATCTTCCCTGTTCCACAGAAGGGCAGAATGAAGATCGAAGTGATTTGGGCTGACTCCACCACTATTCCCGTGGTCCAAGATGCTGCAGCCAGTTTTAAACACACCGGAGGGCTCATCACCAGAGTATAATGCAGTGGGTAACAGATAGCTACAAAGCGGTCATAGGCCATGG